ACTAAATCTGGTAAAATGTTACACATTGCTCTTTGTATGGTTGTAAAATACATTCATGAAAAAAGTAATATATTTATATATAAATATTTAGGGCCTACTATAAAATTAAAAGACATTTATTTTAAATGTATAGCACAGTAATGAGGCAGCAACATATGATAGATAAGATGAACAAGAAAAACTATTAATAATCTGTAACTGTGCGAAAGTATTATGATACGAAAAGCTCCAATACAGAGCGGCACAAAGCGCTTATGCACATCCCGTGCACAGAATGATGCGCTTAAAGCAACACAGAGTCACAGCAGGCACAGCACTCTGCATAGAAAAGTTCAAAGCACAAAGGAAAGAGATATTGATGCATAGTGTATTAAATCTGTGTGATAGTTTATTGAGCCTTTTCTTTTAACAGTTTTAAATCTCAGTTACTGTGCTCGTGAAGAACTATTCACAGTGCTCTCTACTCCAGTGTTGTGATCTAACACAGTAGAAATTAACATGATTTAGAAACAAAACGAAACTCTAGCAAGATAAAGTCCTTTTATGCAAAACCATTTATCTTTATTTACAGATCAAGTATAATATTAGGAACATTGAATCATCTGTCGTAACTAAACGCGACACGCAGTTTGAATGCTGAATGGAGGATGACAGACAGCCGAGGCGGAGAGAAGAGTTTACCTGAACTTGACTTAAATATTCATCTGTACCTCACAATAAACTGTGGAACGGCTTCAGAACACTTGGAATATAGTGCACGAAAACTTTATGGTGCTTTATAATGTTTACGCAGAATATCGGATTTGGATCGGTCTCGTCTGATAGATACCCGATCCGGCAGAAAATGCCAGTATCGGAGCGATACCGATACTGAATATCGGCGCACCCCTGCTAGAAAACAAGACAAAAATACTAAGTAAGAAAACACTCTCAGTTACTCATGTAACCTCGGTTCCCTGAGATGAGGGAATGAGACATTGCTTTGGGAATATCCCTTCCTCCAAATACTACTGAAGCCTTATTGAATCACGCTAGTGAAACTGGCTAATGGCATTCAAGCACGTGAAATATGAGGGGCTCCCACTCTATATAAGGAAGCGCTTGTATGGCATCCATTCAGAATCTTGACTGAAGCAACTTGGCATTCTAAGATCCTGAGCTAGGTGACACGGCAATGAGAGCAATGTCTCGTTCCCTCATCTCAGGGGACCGAGGTTACGTGAGTAACCGAGAGCGTTCCCTATCGATTCGGTTACTTCTACATTGCTTTGGGAACATATAAAATCCCGCCGTGTCATAGCGATGGATCCTGGCTCGACTAAGTATGTCAAGTTTCACGTACGGAACTGTAATGAGAGCGACAATGATATTGGCGCCCTTGGTAAACACAGCCCAGTCTACAGGACCTAGTCAAAACCATGTAAACGTCACACTTTACGTCACACCAGGGGCGGAGTTAACACCGGTGAAACAGAGAATGTGAAATGGTGGCGGCTCTGGCGCCATCACATATAGATTAGTTGAAGTTTGTTTAATTTCAATGAAATAATGTGTTATGATGCAATGGCCATACCGGTGCTCAAAAAAGCAGAGTATGATGGTGATCATGTCCTAAAAGATGTGATGAACAATATCATAACAATGTGATAAGCTGATAGGGACAGCATTGATTTGGTGGTACGTCAGTACAGGGGTGTATACGACCTGGTCAAAACCACTGAGGCAAGCAGCTCAGATCATAACTGAGGCTGAGTAGGCTTGTGCGCTGCTCACACTGACAGCACATGTGAGGCAAGCGACAACACATCTAGGTTATAAAACCTTGCGATAGTGCTGGGTGACGACCAGCCTGCCACCATGCAAATGACCTGAATAGATATGCCATTTGCCCAGGCCCACGAGGACGCGAGTCCGCGGGTTGAGTGGGCCCAAACCCCTATTGGACATTCCACGCCCTTAGAGCCATAAGCCAAAGCAATTGCGTCGATGATCCAGTGTGACAGCCTTTGCTTGGACACAGGCAGGCCTTTTGTGCGCCCTCCAGAGCATACAAATAGCTGCTCCAAGAGCCTGAATTCAATACATGAGTCGTCAATTGACAGTGCCTGCAGGTCGCCAACTCGCTTAACAGAGGCCAGCGCGAGCAGGAGCGCTGTCTTGAGAGAAAGCGTGCGCAAGCTCGCTGATTGTATGGGCTCAAACGGGGGTCCCGTGAGAGCGTCAAGCATAAGCGCCAGGGTGGAAGGGCGAGGAGGGTTCAGCCTTCTTGCTCCTTTTAAAAATCGTATAATCAGGTCATTTCTGCCGATTGGGCGATTATCGACGTGCGCACATACACGCACATACACTTTCAATGTGGATGGTTTACGACCACTATCACCAGCATCTTCACCAGTTCTGGGAACCACGGCTGATTGGGCCATTTCGGTGCCACTAACAGAACAGATTCTCTGTCCTCTCTGATTTTGCAAGGCACGCGAGGCATAAGTTTCACTGGAGGAAAGGCATACTTGCGTACTTTCAGCCAGATGTGAGCTAGTGCATCCACTCCCAGGGGAGAGAGCACAGAAGAAGGTCTCTCACCAGCTGCAGCAGCGGCCGCGAGCTCACACCCTCTTGGTGATTTATAAACACTACCACTGTCACGCTGTCCGTCCTCATGAGAACGTGACGGTAGAGAATGTCAAGGAGAAAGCACTCGAGCGCTAGGTGTACAGCAAGGAGCTCCAGACAGTTTATTTGCCACAACTTCTCTGTTTCTGACCACGTCCCGAAGGCTGGTCAGCCGTCGCATACGGCTCCCCAGCCCCTGCTTGATGCATCTGTCGTAACAGTCTTTCTTCTTATCACTTGGCCAATAGGAACACCCCGGCGATACAGAGTCATATTGCGCCAAGGGGTCAGTGCATCCCAGCAGTCGCACGTCACTTTGATGCGCAAGGTGCCCGCGTGGCATGCGCTCTGTGGCAGCCGGCCCTTTAGCCAGAGCGGTCGCATATGTAGGAGCCCTAGTTTGCACACTGTCGAGGCGGGAGCCATCTGGCCGAGCGTCCTCTGAAAGCATTTCAGTGGGGGAGAGTGCCCTAACTTGAAGACTGCGAGAGAGCTGATCAGTTTTTGTGAGCGCTCCTCCGACAAACATGCTCACATATTGATTGAATTCAGCTCCACTCCTAAAAAGGAGATGTTCTGGCTCTGTACCAGTATGCTCTTTTGCATATTCACAGTAAGCCCTAAGCTCTGGAGATGAGCGAGGAGACTGAGCTTGTCATTGAGCAGCGCGCTTTCTGATTGGGCTAAAACTAGCCAATCGCCGAGATAATTCAGGATGCGCATTCCGCTCTGCTTCAGAGGAGAGAGAGCAGCATCATGCACCAGGGATAAACCGAAGGGTAGGACCAGGAATTGGTACGCTACCCCCTCGAATGCAAATCTCTGGAAACACCTGTCGTGAGGGGCTACCTGAATGTGAAAATAAGCATCCTTTAAATCCACAGAGATAAACCAATCCCTCGGTCTGATGTGTGAGAGGATTTGTCTCAGCGCGATTTAGCAGTCTCAGGTCCAAGACTGAGTCCGCCGTCTTTCTTTGGTACCAGAAAATAACGACTGTAGAAGCCACTCTCGCGATCTGCAAGGGGCACTGTCTCTACAGCGCGTTTTGCGAGGAGGCTGTGTATTTCCTTTCACAGAACTGAGGCATTCTGCTCCCGTACAGTGGACATTAACACACCGTTGAAACAGGGCGGCCTGCGGAAGAACTGAAGCGTGTAGCCATTCTTTATTGATTTCATAACCCACTCTGATACCCTTGGCAGTGCCTGCCACGCTTCTGTGAATTGTGACAGCGGGCAAGGCCATGAGGAATAACTCGCCGTTGGGGGGCGGGGAGTTTAATACCACACGAGTGTGAGAGTGAGTGATGGGGGAGAGAGAAGCGAGAGGAGGAAAATTGCTCTGATATTGAGGTGTGTTTTTCGACTTTTGCACGGCATAGTGGAAAAGTCAAAACACAAACATGACAATTGCTTTCGCCGCCCGCAACAGGCAGGGGGGCATGGTGACAGCGTCAGGAACGCAGCTTTGATTCCGGTGCCGGTGGCCTGTCGTCTCTGTCAGGGCGGGGCCTCTCGCTCTTCGAGCCCTGACGGCGCTTGGGCCACGGCTGTCTTGGCCTCACTGCCGGCTCATGTTCACGCCGAACTGCAGCAGAAGAGGTGTGCGGTCTTCCCGTGCGCTGTGCTGAGGAGGAGCGGGAACGTGCAGGAGGGTTTGCGTCAGTGCGCTTTGGCAGGACGTGGTTAATGGCCTTCGACTGTTTCTGCGCCTCGACGAAGCACTCCGTGAACGTCTGCACCACCGCTCCGAAGACACCTGAGGGATTCACGGGTGCATCCAGAAGGGCCGTTTTTAACTCCTTGAGTCCTTTAACTCGGTCAGAGTAAGTCACAGGTGACAATCTAGTACCACAAGATTTCCCATGTTGCGGCCGATCACTCGAGCTGTCACCTTCATCGCTCAGAGGGCCAGGGCCAGGGGAGTTTAACATACCCCACTTGGTCAGCGCCGTCCACAGAAGACAGGAGGAAGGAACCCAGGTTGTGCACTCGACTGGTGAGCAGTGCGTTCCACGACTTCGCTATCTCATCGTGCACCTCGGGGAAAAAGGGCCCGGGCCTCCGCGGGGTGTCCTTTCGGCCACGGTCCGACTGGAGGTACCACTCGTCCAGACAGCTTCTAGGCAGGAGGCGCCCACTCCAAACCGAGCTCATCAACTGCCTTGGACAGGACGCGTAGGAGCTTGACATCACTATGATGGAGGTCCCCCGCGTCGCTGCCATGGGGCACCGTGTAATCCGGCAGGCTGTTGGACCACTTCTTTCTCTTGCCACCGAAATGGCATCATCCTCCTCTTCAGCGCCCTCCGTGGCACCGAAGGACACCACATCTTGAGCACCAGGGAGGGGCGGAGATCAGCGGTCATGAAGCGCACTGGAAGGGGACCTGCAGTCTCAGGTCCCCTGGGGTGAGGAGCGCGCGGGCTCGTCACCTGACCCTGACAGAACCACATCAGAAGCTCGCGGCACTTTCCTCCTTGGCTCGAAACAGGCTGCAGAGGAAGAGAGCGGCAGGGCTAGTTGAACTCGCCTTGGACGATGGCCACACGGAGCCTGAGAGTCCAGAGGCACATATCTCCGCATTGGGGGCAGTCCGACCCCCCAAGTGCCGCCTCTGCGTGGGCGCGACCCAGGCAGAAGACACACGATTGCCATCAGAATATTCGATTGGCTCTGCACAGTAGTATTTGGAGGAAGGGATATTCTCAAAGCAATGCAGAAGTGACCAAATCGAAAGGGAACCATTTTTTGCAGTGTAATAAAGGCCTATATGTATTTGCTAACCTTGAGCTCGCTGCCAGGCAGTGTTCCTACTCCGTCCTTCCAGTCCATCGCCCCGTACACGTCAAATTCTGGAGCGGCTGTGCTCGGGCCTGACGACTCCATCACACCCGCACACAGCTAATCTGAAAAACACCGCATAATAACCCACACAACCGCCAGATATATGAGCCTTATTCAAAATATACCACTGAAGGTCATTACAAACCACACTGAAACTCTTCTGTGCTCTTTGTACTTCATCTATACACACACTTTGTGTGTTTTTACTACAGAGAAACAAAGTTAAATTCTGTTTTAGTTATTTAAGGTTTGTATGCGCATGTAAACATGCATGTAACTTCAGCATGCACAGTCTGAATCAGAATCCATAACACACCAAAATTAAAAAAAAAGAAGAATCTTGTTTTGCATACAAATTTAAGCCTTTTTTGAGATAATTGCATTGTAACATGTTATTTTAATGACAATTAAATCAGCATTAAATGTATTTTTCTTTCGTTTTTGGGGTAAATATGGCCCAGATATATTCTTGACTGATCAGATTCATCCATATACTAATGTAAACTCATTTAAAACACTCTGAATTATTTAGCAAGTTATTTCAAATAACAAAGAACAATTAGAAAGCTTTATCTAAACAAATAAAGAGTTCAGATGCAAAAGCCTCTAAGTGCCATCTGAAATTTTCTTCTAAAATTAGCATTTTTCTCAGGCTCCTATGTTTATGTTCAGTTATTTAACTTTAATGCAATGAAAAGAACCTACTCATTACCGTTAAAGTGAAATTACTGAACCTAAACATAGGTCATTTTAGAAGAACATTTCAGATGGCACTTAGAGGCTTTTGCATCTGAACTCTTCAAATACTAAATGTTTAGTCCAGAGCTAGTTTACCAGCTATCATCTAATGAATTGCACTGTTTTGTGCATTAACACAGTACGCATTTGTAAACTGACTTTAATGTATAATCTATCAAATAAAAACATTAGAAGAAGACTAGTTTCTTATCTGTCCTTCAAATCAATGTCAAACCTTCTTTTGTAAACCTACGTTACCCTTGGACAACCACGAAGCACCACAACACAAACACTGTTTCTATAGATTAGGTAACAAGCTAAACTGGAAGACGGCATAATCATTGTATTAACAGGCAATCTTTAGGGCACACAGGCAAGTTTCAGGCGAGTGTGTGTGTGTGTGTGTGTTTGTGTGTGTGTTTGAGTGCCGCATGAGGCCTAGCGCATGTGTGTCATTCCCGGATCCGCCAGCAGAGCGCGCTACTGCCCGCCGTTCATCCGCGGCGCTGGAAACTTTCAAGCCCCTGTTCAACAATGAAACCAAAAAGAAATGCACGCAATATTGTCACATATTGCAACATTTTGTCAGCGCATCGAGTGTTTTGATTCATTTTAACATGCTTTCGCATGAAACGCCTCGGTCAGAGAGTTGAATAACTGTCGCATATCCGGACGTTAAACGATTTTTGCAGCTGTTGTTGGTATTTATAGGTATTTGTTATGTTATATAATTAACCAAAGTTCATTTTCCCAATAAAAATGTGAAATCTCCGTGCAAATGCTTTACTTTTCTATGTGAAGTGCAATATTTCGGCATCTATTTGAATTACGTTTTTTTTTTAATAATGATTTAATGATTAAATTAAACGACGATGATGATGGTACAAATGAAATGCATGTTAATTTTCCACCTCGAGTTTTACAGCGCCGGGTTTTCCTGTTAAACGCGTTTATTTCCAGGTTTGTGTGCAGCTCTATTGTATGAAATAGTTTCCACTGAATGAGGTGAAATGATTCAGCTCGACGGCGACAGTGCAGTATTATCTCGCCCTAAACATCGACGACATAGCCTATTTCAGACGGCACAGTATCAGATATTAAAACACTTTTCTTTAATGTGTTTTAAAGGCAGTTTCTCAAAATGGCGGAGCAGGAATTATATTCACTATATAATTGAAAGACACAGGCCTGGCGAATCGCGGCATTATTGCTGATCAATGACATTTAAAGTGCAGGATTGAGCCGATCGCGCGAGGCGTGTTTTGTTTGGCACGAGCAGTTCCTGCCGTCTCCAGCACACAGGAGCGAATGCACTGCTGCTCTGCATTATTCTGCACACACAGATAAACCTATGCTTTATTCCTGCCATCAGCCGCACATGCACACTTCGATCCTGTCTATCGACTGCGTCTGTTCTGAGTGTCATTCATTCGCATTATTCTTTATTTCATACTCTCTTCCTGCTGATGACACGTCCAGGCGTTTTCTACTTTAAATCTAACTTTCATTCTTATTGCTTCGCATTAAACATCCCGCGAAAGTCTGAGACGGCGCATAAAGGTTCATTACGGAGTATAACATGCTAGACGAGCAGTTTATTCTAGCGTGCGATTGTTTTAATTTGTCTGTTTCTTACCCAAATTCTCCCACGAGTACTGAGAAATTGGCCAGGCGGACTCCAGTGCGCATGCGCAGTGCAGCCGTCGCGCTTCACACTCGCCCATCATCATGACAATATCGAAAGTTTTGCGCTGAAACAGCTGCGACGGTCCCACCGACCCAGCAGCCTCCTCCGAAACACGGGGTCCGGTGGCGTACAACATCGCCATTTGCTGTTTTGTTACTAAAAATGAATTCCTGCGTGCGACGCAGGCTAACGCCAGTGCTCTAGTCTCAGATATCTATGAACTACTGAACTAAACAACACTGTACTGACCCTCAACTACTGAACAACACTAAACTGTGCTGCATAGAGCAACCAAATAACCCATACTATACAGAAACAACGTGACACTAAACTACACTGAGCTACACTGTACTGTAAAGAACAACATTAAATAGGTTGTGTTAAACTACACCAAAATAAATAATATTAAGCTGTTTAGAGCAACACTAGATAGGCCTACTAATAAACTAAAATATACTGAATTATAGGTTACTAAGTTCAGTCTTAAAATTAGTGAGTTTTCTCTTGAAAGTGTGTTTAACGCGCTTCGCTTGTGTGAATGAAGGCACATATAAATACCTCACTTTTATTTCCTGACAATAACACAGGCTCACAACACATAAATGATGCTATATTTTTGGATAAAACACTAAATGACGAACAATGATCAAATAAACTGGCTATAGGTTACCCAACCAAGCACAGCTGGGTTTATTTATCTAGTATGTCATTTGTGCCAGTTAGGACTGCTATTTATTAGTGCACTCCTCTTAGGCTTTAGCACCATATCTAATCAAACTACAACTCTAGTTATTTGTCAGGTCATGGATAGACTAAAGACAATAGACTAGAGATGTAAATATATTTGCTACTTTATTCAAATGAGGGTGATCACATGTGACCAGTGCAGTCAGGAGTTGCATGCCTGCAGTAGCTGCTTTTGGTTTTAGTTTTAATTTGGATACTTGCAATGGCTCAGTGTCACACTAACATAAAGAATTGATGTTGCAAAGTGAGTTCAAAGGCCAAAGAGATGAATTTTCAAGGCAGAGGTGAGGTTTTAATTACAGCCCTTGTCACACTATATACATTTCTGCAATTCCATGTTGCCTTGTTTCAGGTTTAGCGCTGCTGTCTGCAGTTAGTGCACCTCTATACGTTAAAGTCTTCTATTAAATGTCTTATGCTGGTTTTGTAGGATTAGATTTTTTCGATTAGATTAGATTAGATTCAACTTTTAACATCTGTGTGGGAGTCCAGTGTGGCCCGAGAAGCAAACAAATTCCAGTCTGTGTTCTGGAACTCCTGCTGTAGTGAAGAGTCTGCTTCTTCCAGCCAAACTTTAACAGCCCTCACAGTGGGTTTCACACGTTTGATGACTGGGGTGTATTTGGGTAGCAGGAACAGGGAGAGGTGATCAGATTGTCCAACGTGGGGGAGGGGAGTTGCTTTGTAAGCATCAGGGATATTTGTATAAACATGATCAAGAATATTGTCTCATCATAGGATCATAGGAGATCACTATTATCACTGACATCTGAAGCCAGTCAACTAATCTTTTAATATGTCTTAATAAACGTATAAGCAACTTAACATATTTGCTGTTTATTAATACTTATAAGGCACATAATACTTATAAGGCACAGATTTAGCATGACCATAATCTATGTAATCCTATGTAATCCTACCCAACACCTAAACTTAGCAACTACCTTACTAACTATTAATAAGCAGCAAATTAGGAGTTTACTGAGGCAAAAGCCGTAGTTAATGGTTTGTTAATAGCGAGAATTGGACCTTAAAATAAAGTGTGACCGAATTTCCTTTATTTAAACAAAGAATTCTTTAAATTTCAAAACAAGCACGTTCATTTTAATGATTCAAAAGTTGCTTCCTAACAGGAATGACCCAGATTTTGTTTTAAACAAGTAGGCCCAAATAGTTTTACCCATGCTTTGCAGTTGAAGCACAGTGTTAATCTGAAACCTGCACCATTTCAGAAATGTGCTCATAAATTAGCAGTGCTGCAGAACAGAAACAAATCAATGTCCTTACAGCCAACTGTGCTAGCGGGATGCTAATGTGAGGTATTCTAGCACAGCCTCATTTAACGAGGAGTATTATTAGTGTGTGTGGGTAATTAGTTAGTGCAGCCCGGGCCTGGAGGTGGGCTTTATCCTGCCCAGATTTACGGAAGCGTTGCTAATCTTATTAAGAGCAGCCGTGACAGATGCGCAGACTCAGTCTTATGCTACCTGCGAGAGCACCGATCAAAGAATCACTGGCCATTCGTGTTGTTGGACTACTGCTGGCGGTGCTGTGGGACCACGGCCAACAACTGCCCCTCAACAGCAAGCTCCATGACACCTGGGTAAAGTCTGATTATTCCCCTCCTGATGGGTGCACTGTGTCCCTGCAGCATAGTTCATTTATAACAGCAGGCATGTTTCTATAGGCCTTACTTTCAGACAACTTTCAATGTACATCTGAAGATTTTCTGCAGAGATTTCTATTGTAAAAGAGTGACCATGTACAGGAATAGTTCAGGCCTCTACAACAATAGAGCATGTTAAATTAATAATACTATCAACACTAGAACAAACTGATGTATAGATGTTAAATAGAATATGGCTGGTGTTATACAGCTCAGCAGAGAAGTTAGATTAGTAACATAACTCGGGATTCTTTGAAAACTATTGGTTGTGATCTTCCCACTATTGAAGAGATCTAGGCCTATGTCTGATGTTTGCAGAAAAAACTATCCTGTCTAACAATCCTGAAAGATCCCTTACATCCAGCCAGACAACTCTTTACGCCGTCAGGCTGTTCTTCAGAACCTGTTGATGTGTATGGTGTGCTTCTTCTCTCTCTACTATCTTGTGGTCAGTCTCTGCATCGGCATTCTCAGGTGAGATTTTCCACGTTGAGCAGCATAACTTCCTCTCTCTCTCTCTCTCTCTCTCTCTCTGTGTTTCTGTGTGCGTCTGCCTCTTATGTGGTGACGTGTCTACTGACTTCCTGTAGTATAGAAAAAAAATAGTCTATGTCAGTATTGCACAACACTTGTAATATTAGTCCCATGGACCGTCATATGCAAATCACTGCTGCTGTTCTCTATATGCATTGCATTCACAAAATTGTCAGTTTCATGTTCAACCTATGAACAGTTTATCATGTTGGGCCTGTGCAGTTTTTTTTAACGGTTAGACTTTTTTCACATTTTGTGCGAGCAACAATTTTGAGACAAAAAAGAGACTGT